GTGGGTGTGGGTGTGGGTGTTGGTCAGGTGTGAACGCGGATGTCAGTGTGGGTCTGGGTGTGGCTGTGCGCGTCCGTGTGGGTACGAAAAAGAGATCCTCACAAAGACATCTACACCCACAACCACATCCACACCCACGACCACACACTCTCATCCTCACCTACATCCACCCACACCCACACCCACACCCACACCACCCACACCCACACCCACACCCACACCCACCCACACCCACACCCACACCCCCACACCACTGAACTCAGCATGGTCAGTTACCCCTATGGTGACCTATTTTAGAATCATTGAAGGTTACCTGGCAGATTTTAGAGGTCTCAGGAAAATGCTTATAGCTCTTGAACAGAGCAAGCTAGCGAGTTCAGTCTTCCGTAGATCGAAAGTGAACAATTTTTCCTATCGAATGGCCATATTGGAATCTAAACTCTAATGACAAATAGTTTCCGTAGGCAATTCTCAAAATGTCCAATGAGCATTCACACCATTGGTCGATTATTGACCAATCAAATTTAGCAGAGTTTTACTTCCCCCACATTTCTCTTTCGAATGGTGAAAACCGCAGGTTTCTAGCTGTTTTCGTTCTTGAGATATTTAAAAAATATTGGTGCCTATTATATTTTGACGTCGACAGTAGTTCATAGATGTATTGTTTACATTGAAAACTTGAATGTCTTAGATATTCTAAAAGAAAACTTTTAGTTTAGTATCTATTGCTGACTATTTGTTATAAAATATTTGAGGAAGTTTCTATGCTTTTTTGTAATCTTCTGCAATAAAATTAATTTCTATTTAGCATTATACGGAACAATAACAAAAATCATTAATAACAACAGCAACTCCTACACAAGTTCCACAACAATCATTACTATCATCAATAACTACATCTACTAATTCGAATAGTATTTTATCATCAAATCTTCTATTTCAACAACCACATTATCATCATTTACAAGCTGTTTCTCAAATTCCTATGCCACCTCCATCATATCTTTATACATCTGCATCATCATTATCTGATCAATCAGAATCAATATTTCATGTTCAAAATGAAATTCGTTTAAATAAACGTGGTTATCGTGAACAATATGATGGTATTGGTCATTGGCGTCCATTATGCATACATGAACAATGTTTAAAACGAGCAAAAAAATTATCTTATTGTAAACGACATTATAGTGAACAAATGAATCAAAATCAATCGAATTCAACTAATATTAAAATTGAAACAGATAATAAAGATTAAATCACGAAATTTAAAACAAGTGAATGAATTAACATGAAGAACAAGAAAAATCTATGTCAGATAGACAAAAATGTATTTGAAAAACAAAAAAAAAATGAAACTGTGAATATATGTATATATTTATTATAAAACTTTGCATTTATCGTTCTTTGGTAATGAAAGTCAATGTCAGTTTTTTTTTGTATGTATGATTTTAATTTCAAAAAAAAAAATATCAGTCTTATATGAATGTTGAATAAATGAATATTTATAGATTATTTGATTCATCTTTTCAAGCAATAAAAAATCAACACTATTCTAATTAAGAAAAAGAAAACAGAGAGAAACAAATCTTCAAAAGACTGTTCCTATGTTTTGAAATATACTAGTCAAATGGATTTTTTCCTCACAACATCAAGGTAATATTCACGAGGCAAATATATCAACGCAAAAAAAAGCAATTATCAAATGAAATTGACATAAACAAATATTTTTGAAAGAGCAAACAAACACTATGTATTCGAAAACAAATTGAATGATAGATATTATCTATCCTTCAATTTCGTGATTCATTTATTTTTCTTTCTTTATTTTTACATTAAAAGAACCTTCAACTCAACACAATAAACACTACTTGTGTAAACAAAACCTAAGTGAGATGAAAAACGATCACAGATGTGATATAATGAAAGCAAAGGAAAAAAAACACCAGCTCATACGATAATATTGTGATGGATATAAAGCAAAATAATACAAACAGCACACAGTCAATTTTTTAAAGGAAACAATAAAGTTTTGAATAGATCTATTTTGTCTATCTCCCATAATAGTGAACATTTCAGTAGAAAAATATTTATCACTTGCATTTAATTTTTCTCAACGGTATGATATATGGAAATTTGAGTGTTGCATCACCTGACAGTGCATTACGAGCTTCAAATGAGTGTAATACTCTTTATTAAAAAAAAACATTTATTCAAAACAATTTAGGAGAAATTCAAATTTTTTGCTATTACCTCATGTAAATGGGTTGTCTGAAATTAGAACAACTATTCTTTTTTTTCAAAAAAAATTACAGACGTAACAATCAGCAGGAAAAATAGAGGCGCTGTCCGTCAGATTGTTTAACTATTCATTGTTAGCAGCTGGTTGATTGCCTGTCTGATTTCGAAGAACTAGACAAGTTTGTTTTTTTTTT